TCCCATTACTGGATTATTTCTAGTGCTTTGTTGATGCCCAGTATTGGACGACTCCCAGTGCTGGATGATGCCCAAGTGCTGCATGATTACCAGTGCCTGGATGATTCCCAGTGCTGGATGATTCCCAGTGCTGCATGATTCAGTGCTGGATGATGCCCAGTGCTGGATGATTCCCATTACTGATTCCTAATGCTGCGTGATTCCCAGTGCTGGACGATTCCCATTACTGGATTATTCCTAGTGCTGGATGATGCCCAGTACTAATGACTCCGTGCTGGATGATTCAAATTACTGGGTGATTCCTAGTGCTGGATGATGCCCGGTGCTGGATGATTCCCAGTGCTGGATGATGCCCAGTGCTGGATGATTCCCATTCCTGGATTATTCCTAGTGCTGGATAATGCCCAGTACTGGATGAATCCCACTGCTGGATGATGCCCAGGACTGGATGACTCCCAGTGCTGGACGATGCCCATTGCTGGATCATTCCCAGTGCTGGATGATTCCCAGTGTTGAATTCCCAGTGCTGGATGATGCCCAGTGCTAGATGATTCCCATTACTGGATTATTCCTAGTGCTGGATGATGCCCAGTACTGGATGAATCCCAGTGCTGGATGATTCCTATTGCTGGATGATGCCCAGTACTGTATGACTCCCAGTGCTGGATGATGCCCAGTACTGGATGACTCCCAGTGCTGGACGATGCCCATTGCTGGATCATTCCCAGTGTTGGATTCCCAGTGCTGGATGATGCTCAGTGCTAGATGATTCCCATTACTGGATTATTCCTAGTGCTGGATGATGCCCAGTACTGGATGAATCCCAGTGCTGGATGATTCCCATTGCTGGATGATGCCCAGTACTGTATGACTCCCAGTGCTGGATGATGCCCAGTGTTAGATGATTCCCACTGTTGGATGATTCCCAGAACTGGATTATTCCCAGTTCTGCATGATTCACAGTGCTTGATGATTCCCATTACTGGATTATTCCTAGTGCTGGATGATGCCTAGTACTGGATGACTCCCAGTGTTGTATGATTCTCAGTGCTGGACGATTCCCAGTGCTAGATGATTCCCAGTACTTAATTATTCCTAGTTCTGGATGATTCCCATTACTGGATTATTCCTAGTGCTGGATGATGCCCAGTACTGGATGAATTCCAGTGCTGGATGATTCCCATTGCTTGATGATGCCCAGTAATGGATGACTCAGTGCTGAATGATTCCCAGTGTTGCATGATTCAGTGCTGGATGATTCCCATTACTGGATTATTCCTAGTGCTGGATGATGCCCAGTGCTAGATGATTTCCATTACTGGATTATTCCTAGTGTTGGATGATGCCCAGTACTGGATGAATCCCAGTGCTGGATGATTCCCACTGCTGGATAATTCCCAATACTGTATTATTCCTAGTTCTGGATGATTCCCATTACTGGGTGATTCCTAATGCTGGATGATACCCAGTGCTGGATGATTCCCATTACTGGATTATTCCAAGTGCTGGATGATGCCCAGTGCCGGATGATTCCCAGTACTTAATTATTCCTAGTTCTGGATGATTCCAATTACTTGGTGACTCCCAGTGCTGGATTATTCCCAGTGTTGCATGATTCACAGTGCTGGATGATGCCCAGTGCTGGGTGATTCCTAATGCTGGATGATTCCCAGTGCTGGATGATGCCCAATGCTGGATGATGTCCAGTACTGGATGAATCCCAGTGCTTGATGATTCCCAGTGCTGGATGATGCCCAGCAATGGATGACTCCCAGTGCTGGATGCCAGTACTGGATAAATCCCGGTGCTGTATGATTCCCGGTGCTGGATAATTCCCAGTACTGTATTATTCCTAGTTCTGGATGATTCCCAGTGTTGGATGATTCCCAGTGGTGCATGATTCAGTGCTGGATGATGCCCAGTGCTGGATGATTCCCATTACTGGGTGATTCCTAATGCTGGATGATTCCCATTACTGGATTATTCCTAGTGATGGATGATGCCCAGTACTGGATGATGCCCAGTGCTGGATGATTTCCAGTGTTGGATGATACCCAGTGCTGGATGATTCCCATTACTGGATTATTCCTAGTGCTGGATGATGCACAGTACTGGATGATTCCTAGTGCCGGATAATGCCCAGTGCTGGATGACTCCCAGTCGTGGATGCCCAGTGCTGCATGACTCCCAGTGTTGTATGATTCTCAGTGCTGGATGATTCCCAGTACTTAATTATTCCTAGTTCTGGATTATTCCCAGTGTTGGATGATGCCCAGTGCTGTATGATGCCCAGTGCTGGATGATTCCCATTACTGGATTATTCCAAGTGCTGGATGATGCCAGTGCTGGATGATGCCAGTGCTGGATGATGCCCAGTACTGGATGAATCCCAGTGCTGGATGATTCCCATTGCTGGATGATGCCCAGTACTGGATGACTCCCAATGCTGGATGATGCCCAGTGTTGGATGATTCCCATTACTTGATAACTCCCAGTGCTGGATTATTCCCAGTGCTGGATGATTCCCATTACTGGGTGATTCCTAATGCTGGATTATTCCCAGTGCTGCATGATTCACATTGCTAGATGATGCCCAGTGCTGGATGATTCCCATTACTTGATAACTCCCAGTGCTGGATTATTCCCAGTGCTGGATGATTCCCATTACTGGGTGATTCCTAATGCTGGATGATTACCAGTGCTGGATGATGCCCAGTGCTGGATGATTGTCAGGGCTGGATGATGCCCAGTACTGGATAAATCCCGGTGCTGTATGATTCCCGGTGCTGGATGATGCCCAGTACTGGACGACTCCCAGTGCTGGATGATTCCCATTACTGCATTATTCCTAGTGCTGGATGATGCCCAGTTCTGGATGATTCTCAGTGTTACAATTTATACTCCTTCGCTGCGGTGAATTATTCCCTCACGGTTTTAATGTTTTTGGTGAATATAATCATCTTGTTCCCACTACAAAGAACAATAACTATGTGCGCCGCCATACTGAACAACTTTTGGCAGGGAGCACTTGGTAAAAGTAAATACTTACATTTAATGTTCGTGATCGTACTGGCCTGACGTCTGTGTTCACTGGCCTGAAGGAAACATTTTTAAGTATCTAGTGCTCATAACGTGGCGAAGAGAAACTGGGACGAACAGGGTGGAAAGTTATGATAAAATTGTATGCATTGATTGCGAGGTGAAGTAGATACTGGCCATCCTTCGGAGCAAAGACTCGCTATACCAAGTCACCAGTAGTCTCCCATGAACACAGGAATGGGGGGAGGGGGAGCTCGGGGGCAGCTAGCCTCATCCTGCATGCATGAGTCTACATCACGTCAGTTTTGACTGTGCATCCGATAGCAGGATAAAGTTACACTATGTCGATTTCCATGCATGTTGGGAGAGCAGCGAGCCATCCGCTCATCCCTGCGTAGTATATGTCTAAAACCTTGTCACTTGTTCTTTACCTCTCATCGCGCATCTTACACCGCTCCCATGACTAAACAACATTTTTACATTTAGACATACAAGCATGCGTACGCTGACCTTGTGTTGTTATAGTGTTGTAGTGTGAGGCTTGTTGGCAGCGTGTGGTACTTAACTAACTTGTTCATGCTGAGAGTTACGCTACCCACCACCAGGGTTCACGGTTACCCTCGCCCTCATTACCTAAAGGAACTATCTGCACAACTGTGTACACGTACATGCCGCAGTACCTCTTGCTGTCTCCTACCAAGAATGTTCTGGTCAAGAGTAAAGAGAAGCGTTAATAGCGGACCTTGTGCTCTAGAGCTCCCTACCCCTTCTACCGTCGGTTACATAAGCAGCCCTTCAATGTTGGCAGTGAGTATTTGCTGAAGTCTTGCAGTGAGTGACATGATAGCGAGCGTGGTATGGCTCTAGTCGCTTCTGCAAGCCACACATTAAAATACCTTTCATATTGATGCTGCTGTTCTTTTGCGGCCTCTCCGGCTTTCGAGGGGGAGCTTTACTCTTGGGTGTGCTTGGGGCTAGGGTGGTGGAGGCTGTGGTGGTGATGGTGGAGGTGGTGGAGGTTGGGGAAGGGGTGGCAGGGGATAAGGTCTGGTCTCCCTTCAGGGATTGTCTGATGGAATGGACGGAGGTAGGTGGAGATAGATAGCTAGTCTTGGAGGGAGGAGTGTGGGGAGATAGGATGCTCTCGCCAGATGGTGGAGGATGTTGGAGACTGGTGGTGGTGATGGTGTTGGAAGCAAGATGTGGAAGATGCTGAAGGCTGGTGGTGGTGTTGGCGGTAAAATGTGGAGGATGCTGGAGGCTGGTGGTGTTGATAGTGCTGGAGGTAAGATGTGGAGGAGGATGTTGGAGGCTGGTAGTGGTGATGGAGGTAAGATGCGATTTGGGTTGGAGGTAGTTTGAGTCATCTGGAGTTAAATGGATTGCAGCTAACGGGAACTGGAGGAGGTTATGATAGTGGTGGTGATCGAGAGTTTGCAATGCTTTGGGGTTGGAGTGATGGAGAGAAGAGAGGGCAGCCTGAAGCATAGATGGACTAAGAGAGAGTGTCTGTTGCTGCTGTGGCAAGAGGTGAGGACCCAGGGTGAGGGGATTGGTGCGGGGCTGTATGTAGTGCTGCAGCGCAGCCGACGCCAAGGTGGGGCCGGCTGTGTCGTACAGCTGGGACAAGGTTGGGGTGGGAGGGGGCGAGGAATAGATCTGTGCCGCATTGACCTGTTGGATGTGGAAGGGAAGAGCGTTCTGATAGTCTGGCGGAGACGTAGAGGAGGACGAAGTGGACTCACAAGAGGAAGAGGAAGGATAGACTGGGAGGTGAAGGACGGCGTTGAGGACGCCTACAGGGGCCCCAGACTCATCCAGGATAGTGGGATCGGCATGGGAGAGGTTGTGTGGGTGAGAGGGTTGAGGGTAGGTGGTAGCTGGATGTGGGTGATGGGGTGGGCGTGGGTGGTGGCCTGGGCGTTGGGGCAAGTGTGGGCGTCGTGGGAAGAGGTACCCACTGTATGAGAGGCGTGAGAGTTGGGCTGTGAGTGGGAGCCGGCATTGTGGGAGGTGCGGGTGTCCTTGCTGGTGTGCGAGCGCTCGGAGGGGGCACACAGGCACGCCCGCAGCCAGGGGTGGCGGCGCCCAGCCCTACGTAACTCCTTCTTCACCTACCGGGTACAGACACACAAAATGTACCCAGACTGTGAGTGAGGCGCCCACCGCCACGCGCTCATACCCATCACATACCCCACCTCAAACAAAAAAAAATTACTCACAAAAAAATAAAATTACTGTAGCTGGGTAAAGGAAAAAGTTTACAAATGTCTAATACAGTGCTACAAGTATCAAATTGTTACATAAATTAGTGTAAAATTAAATTTGAACTGTGGTAAGCGTGAGACAACAACAGGGTTAATATATGAGTCAACCAAGACAGCATTAAGTGAACCAACACAGGAATAAGTAAACCAACATACCAAGCTAAACATAAAATACTTTTAGTGAATTAGTCTTAAAATATAACAGACACACCCACAACCCAGACATTTATATTCAACTGAGCTACTTTAATTAATACAGTTAGACACTGACTCCTACAACATTAACTCCCACACTCATTACCTTCCACACAACACTAACATTAACCCCCACACACCACCATCTGGATATTTAAGCAGTAATATACGCAGATTCATTACAGGGATTGGGAGAGGAGGGAGAGAGGAATGGGAGGGGAAATTAGGATGATTTTATTTACAGAATTCATTGGAAGAGACTCATTAAGCTTATCATTTACAGTCTCTCAGAACAGTTTTCATTCCCGGCCTCCCTCACTCCCTCTCCCTATATTACTCTCTGTTGCTCTATCTACTCTTTCTCTCTCTTATCACTCGTATCTCTCTCTACTCTCCTCTCTCATTTCTACTATATCTACTCTCATTCTACTTTTTATCTACTCTCTCTTACTCTTCCCCTGGGAGGGGGGGGGACATGTAACCCAGGTGGAGAGGGCAGCACTCACCTTGTCGTTCTGGACACAATGGAATATGAAGATGAAGAGTCCCTGGAGGGAGTTGAGAACAGTGAAGATGTAGGCCATGACCACGGAGGCCTGGTTGAGGTAGAGCAGCCCAAATGTCCACGTCAGTCCCAGCAGGAACATCAGTACGATGGCACCTCGAACCCACGTCCTGTGGGACACAGTAAGGTATCAGTACCACGCTGGGAGGGGAAGGGAGAGTACGAAAGAGAGGTGTCGGATTGGTATGGCGATGTACACCTACCCAGTGGTAAATGTATTTCATGGTGTGTGTGTGTGTGTGTGTGTGTGTGGGTGTTGTGTGTGTGTGTGTACATTTTATATATATATATATATATATATATATATAAATATATATATATATATATATATATATATATAAAATATGAAGACCTTCCCCCTTGCTATAACTTCATTCCAATAGGGTCGGAGACCCTTGGAGCATGGGGCAAGTGTGCTCTAAAGTTCCTCAAAGAGCTGGGTGAAAAGCTCATCATAGAAACCAAGGACCACAGGGCGACCAGCTTCCTCTTTCAGAGACTCAGTGTTGCGATCCAGAGAGGAAATGCCTGCAGCATCTGGGCACGCGGCCCACCGCAGGGGAGCTGGACGAAGTATTCGAGATGTAGCTCTGAGTTACCTATGTTGTTTTACTTTCTGTTGTATTTTGTGAATGTTTGGCCAATGTATTTGTCTTTAAATAAAACATACTTGAAATATAGGGGGTGGTAGGAGAAAATTCTCAAACAGCTTCAGGGAGAACCTTGAGTTTTCCCTGAAGCAAGTTTATTCTTTTCTCTGAGGATGAGGGTCCCTATGACAGTTCTAGAGGTGGTACCTCCTATACTTTTATATATATATATATATATATATATATATATATATTATATATATTATATATATATATATATATATATATATATACATATGCCAATAGGTAAAATTGGTCACTTAGCAAGAACTCATATATAATTAAATCCTAAAAAAAATTCTTATACGTTTAAATTATTTTTTTTCATTTATGTTAATGTGTGTGTGTGTGTGTGGGGGGCATTTTAAAATATATATATATATATAATTTTTATTTTATATTTTATTTTTATATAATATATATTTATATATGCCCCCAAGGGCAGCCACTTTCATGTTCCAGCGCCTCAGCTAGCCATCCAGAGGGGAAATGCTTGCTGCATACTTGCTTGGGGTTTCCAGCCTCGGAGGAGCTGGAGGAAATTCATGATCTTTGTTTCATTGGGGCCATTGTATTCATTTTTAGGTTTTTTCTGTAAATGTATTCTGTTTTAAAAAATGTTCACATAGAATATAAAATATATAGGGGGTGGTAGGAGAAGAAAATATTCAACAGCCCCGGGGAAAACCCTTGAGTTTTCCCTGAGGTACGTTATTGTCTTCTCTGGGGATGAGGGTCCCCATTCCAACTATAGAGGTGGTACTTCCCTATATTTTATATATATATATATAAAATATATATATATATATATATATATATATATATATATATATATATCGTGCCGAACAAGTAAAACTTGCGATTTTGGCTTAAATAGCAAAACACTTCTTGCCGAATACGGCAAGTGGAAGTTTGTGTTTGCAATAATTTCGCAAAAATCATTCTGAATCTAACGAAAAAATATATTTAATTGTGTTTGTTTATTACTGAATTACTGTAAATTTATATAAAATATATCTAGATGGATTAAGCTAAATTAAATTGCGCTTGTAATAATAATAAGGCCAGGTAAGTTTCCTAAGGTTCTTTTGGTACAAAATTATTAATTTTTATACTAACATAAATGAAAAAATATATTTCAATGTATAAGAGAAAATTTCAGAAAGGACTTAATTTTAAATGAGTTCTTGTTAATTGACCAGCTTTAACTATTCTGTATATATATTATACATATAGACGTATGAGGTGCATTTCAACATCAATTCATACATTCAGTATCAATTTAAGAACAAGTAGATGTATGAAGAGCGTAATACACACACACACAGCATCATAATACAAACTATCATTTTTTCACTGAGCCCTGACAAACTGGTTTCAGTACTTCTTAAAAGCTGTTAGCTAATCTAAATATTTTTTTTCTGTTTAAATATTAAATTCTACCCTTACACTGTTGTACGAGAGAAACCTGAGGCTTCAGTCAGGCCTATGGAAGGAGCGGCTAGTTTAGATAGAAAGGCCTAGTGCCCAGAGATGATGAATACACTCTACAGAGCTAGCATAAAACTAAAGAGAGCGAAACGTTGTCGAAATAAATTCTTGTTATACAACTGTGTCAGTACGCTGAGGTCAGTGGTCACGTGGTCATATCTGTCCTAAGCTGTCTGGGATTTAGCGTGGGTTGTTCCTAGCACCATGGCTTGTAGTGTTTTAGAATCTCACATTAAAGTATTGAAGGAGGTTCTACTTCTTCAGGAGGAAAATGGGAGGCTAAAGCTTCATCTAGATGAATTTGGGAGTGAGATGGTTGTAGCTGGTAAAGAGGAAAGAGTTACCAGCAGTGATTTGGAGAGTGGCAGCCACTTTAAGTGGCAAGTGGTTCACAATTCAGGAAGAAGAATAAGGTTAATACAGAAGATGTGAAAGTAGGAAATATATTCTCTGTTCTCCAGGATGAGTGTACTTAAGTGGCTAGTGAGGTTAAAGGTACCACTGACTCCCCTGCTAATCAAGGTAAGAATATTCTAATTGTGGGAAATTCTCAGGTAAGTTAAATGGATCGTGCTTTTTGTAAGAGATAGAAAGATCAGATAGAGGGTGTGCCTCCCAGGAACTGGTGTTGGTGACATAGCAGGTTGGATATTATGTCAGGCAATGGGAACAAGCCCATTATCTGTCTTAGTGCTGGTGGAAATGACATCGGTAAGAGCAGGAGACAGGAGCTGCTGGATAAGTACAGGTCAGCCACAGACGCAGTCAGGTCTAAGGGAGGGGTCCCAATCATATGTAGCATCTTCCCTAGATGGGGAGTGGGCAATGAATGGATGTCTATTGCAATTGGTATAAATTGCTGGCTAGACAGATACTGCAAGGAACTTGCAATCCCATTCATTGATAACTGGGACATATTCTATGGCAAACATGAAATGTATGCAAGAGATGGCGTTCATCTCTCTGGGGCTGGAGTGGTTGCACAAGCCAGTTCAACTGAGGGAGTTATTGGTAACATGTCTAGGACTTCAAACTGATAGATTATAGAGGTATGGGTGTCTATGGGAAACAATCAGGCTGCAGTACTAGGGTTGAAAGCAGATATAACCAGGATACCTCAGGGATATGTTTAAAAGACAATATTCAAAATAAAGTTGCTAGTAAAGGCAAAGCAAATGATTAACAAAGAGAGATAATAGAGGGCAACGAGTGACTAGCTCCCATAAGGTTTACTATACAAATAGGAGTCTCAGAAATAAGATGAGCTAAGATTTCTTGCAAGTTCAGGTAATATAGATATTATTGCTATAACTGAGACCTGGTTCAACTTTAAAGATAGAGAAATGCCTTCTGAATGCAACATATAGGGTTATAAACTATTCCACAATGATAGGGTCAACAAGAAGGGTGGTGGAGTGGCGATGTATATCAGAGATAATTTAAATTATGTTAAACAAGATATAAGATTAGAAACATCGGACACAGCATCTGTTTGGCTACAGTTTCTCGAGGGTCGTGAAAAGTTAATTTTGGGTGTGATTTATAGGCCCCCAAACCTTGATAGAGAGTGCAGTAAGCTGCTATGGGACGAAATTCATAAGGCATCTATATATGAAAATGTTGTGTTAATGGGAGATTTTTAACTTTAAACAAACTGACTGGAACAACGTGACAGGAAATCTTGAGTCTAGTGACTTTATTGATACGGTTCAGGATTGCTTTTTAAAACAATTTGTGACAGAATCAATTAGAGGAAACAAACTGCTTGACTTGGTTCTTGTCAACAAAGAATTACTAATTAATAATCTTGAGGTTAATGAGCTTGAGAAAAGTGACCACAAATCACTTAGTTTCAATATATCATGGAATTACCCAAATAATTGCAATCAAGTCTCTGTCCCAGACTTCCACTTGGCCAATTTCATGGCACTGAGAAATTACCTAGGTGGGCTGAACTGGGATGATCTGGCTATGGTATGGATCAGGTTCGTGGTGTTGATTGCCAATATAACGTTTTCCAGAGCATAGTCCTAGCTGCCCAGACAACTTTTGTTCCAAGTAGGGAAATTAGATCTAACAAAAATGATCTCAAATGGATGAACAATAAATTAAAACATCTCATTGGTCAAAAGAGGGGATAGGCAGTTATGAGATCAATATATTCAATTAAAGAGAAATAAAAAAAAAGGAATAAGAAAAGCAAAAAGGGATTATGAGGCTCAGGTCGCAAGGGATTCGAGGACTAACCCAAAAGGGTTCTTTCAGGTATCCTGGAGTAAGATTAGGGACAAGATAGGCCCACTTAAGAGTAACTCAGCTCAGATCACTGACAGTGATAAGGAAATGTGTGAAATTTTCAATATTTACTTCCTCTCAGTTTTTACTCGGGAAGATACTAGCGAAATTCCAGAAATAATAAATTATGTAGAATAGGAGGATAATAAACTATGCACGATTGGGATAACTAGTGACATGGTCCTCAGACAAATAGTGAAATTAAAACCTAACAAATCCCCAGGCCCTGATTAATTGTTTGCAAGGGTTTCAAAGGAATGTAAAGAGGAACTTAGCAAACCTTTGGCTAATCTTTTCAACATATCACTACAAACTGGCACAGTGCCAGATAAGTGGAAAATGGCAAGTGTAATATCTATTTACAAGGCAGGTGACAGGTCCTTAGCTTCGAGCTATAGACCAGTAAGCCTTACCTCCATAGTGGGAAAATTTATGGAATCAATAATTTCCGAGGCAATTCGTAGCCATCTGGAGAGGCATAAATTGATTAATGAATCTCAACACGGTTTTACAAAGGGGTGTTCCTGTCTTACGAATTTACTAACTCTTTTTTCTAAGGTATTTGAAGAGGTAGATCATTGTAATGAATATGATATTGTGTATATGGACTTCAGTAAGGCTTTCGATAGAGTTCCACACCAGAGGCTGTTGAGAAAACTTAAGGCACACGGAAT